AACCTATGTCTTCTCTCCCAAAACGTTTCTACTCAAACATGCTTCCTTATAACCAAAGTTTTGCTTGAATGAATGATGTTATTTGATTAAAAGAGTCGTTCTGCCTTCATAGCTCCTTGTACTCAAAAGATGCAGAATATGACTGACATTCGCACAATTTAGCTCGACCACATGCAATCGCTGTGTTCAGCGTTACTCGACGATCTCCCAGGTTATGCGGCTTTGAGCAATCGAATGAAATTGTTTATGGAGAAACTGAAGCAAGCAGAACAAGAAAGCTTTGATCAGTGGTGAGATTACGTTGTTGCTTGTCATTTGAAAATTTGGTAACTGATTTCAACGAAGAAAAAGGGGTAATCTTTTTGAATTTTTACTCAAAGTTCGGCATTAATTGCTTGACATAGTTGGGATAAAGCTGGTGCTGACTTTGAGTTGAGTTTAGATGTATTGGTTCAAAAAGAGTAATATTCAGTAGATGATAGTTTGAAATCTGGATTTGCATTTGATAAGTGGTGACCTCTCAAGGGCAACAGTTGATGCGTTTTCAGGTGTCGCGAAACAATACAAGCCATCGATGATCCAACAGATTCTATCGCATTGGAAACAAAGGGAAAAATTATGGTACTCGAACAAAAGAGAGGAACCCTCAACGTTAATTATAGCGATCGCCTTATCAAGCTGCTGAAAGAGGTACTTTTATAGCTAGTTTTATTATAGCCCTTACAAGCTACCATAACAGTGACATTCAAGGTTCGACAGCTCGCTAGTCTTGGATTGAACATACCGTCGAAAATCATCAACTGCGTGAATCAGGCTGAGAAGTTTTACAGATTTGGTGTTGTTCTCAAGCAGATCGCGCACTTTTATAATACAATTGATCAGCAAATGCTGCCATGTCAGCAGGTTCGACGCAACACGTAACATTGTACCCAACTTTTTAAAAATTTCAATAATCAAATTAGGCTCAACTTCTTGATGAAGCCATAGCTTTCGAACGGCTTGTCATTCCGCGAAAAAACGAAGAGAGCGACATCTCCCGAGTCACGTGGGAAGATCCAAAAGAGCTGGAGACCTTTATAACGAAACTGCAAGGAGCATCGAACAAGCTCTCCAGTCACAACAGGTACTGTGCTTTCTCACGCCAAGAATGTTTTCAGAAACGATGCATCGATTTTAGACGACTGCGAAATGCACACACAGAGATTGTTCACATGGTTTTGGAACTGGTAAATTTGGATGTGTTGAAGGAGGTCAACAGATGGAAAGAACTACTCATTAAGATTCGATCTAAGGTAGTCAAAAGTGTAGAAGTTTTATGATATTGTGAGAACCGATGGATGTAGGTGGATGAAGCTTTCTCTTGCTTTTTGAATAACTTTAGAAAGGTTTGATCTAAAATAATATGTGCTGTTTGAGAAAAAGAGTTTTTTTTTTCCATTTTACAATCTGTGGTGATCTGTGGTTGCGCTTTATATTAATTTGTGGTACCAATCCCTTACTTGAATTCATCTGGGCAAGGTTGATTAATAATCTACAGTAATCATTTTTTGT